TCTGACTTTTTTCCCATACTATACTGAAAATAAAATTTTAAAAATCAGTTAACTTTTTTTTTTTTCAGTGGCCCTAATCCTCTTCCGTACAAACCTGAGTGACAAGAAAGGATTTGTATGGAGGAGTGGGCCAAAATCCCTCCTGCAGTGTGTGCAAACCTGATGAAAAACTATGGGAAATGTTTGACCTCTGGAATTGCAAAGAAGGTATGACTGTTCCAAATATTAACACTTATTCTCATGTTTTTCAATTCCTTTTTGCAGTTTTATTATATCAGCTTCATATATTGTGATTATAGGATTTTATCTTTTAGATTATTTCTGTCACAGTGGACATGCAACAACAATAACAATTTCAGACCCCTCCATGATTTCTAAGTGGGATAACTTGCAAAATAGCAGGGTGTTTAAATACTTATTGTATATATATATATATATATATATATATATATATATATATATATATATATACATATATATATATATATATATATGTAGGCCTTGCTTAGCAGAATGCTTGTTAACAAATGAGGCTGTACTGACTTGGAAAAGTTCGCCAGGTTTTGCACTACTTTGGCGATAAGTGTGAGAGTGCGTGATGTCTGCTCGTCGGGGTACTCCTGGGTGAGGTTGAAGAGTGACGGGGACATGATGGCAGGACACAGGAAGCGCAGGAAGAGCGAGCCGCTGATGAGACGGTCGGCGATATCCTCCCGACCCCTCTCAGCGCAGCGCACTCTCCAGGATGCAAAAACCTCCTTCAGCTCACGAGGGAATACACTGCAAAGACGTGTAATACATTTTCATAATCAGACAGAAACACATTACTTTTCCTTTCACCCTGCTCAGGACAAACAACAGCAATGCAACCTCTATGAATAGCTTATAATTTTTGCAGTAATTGGGAGCTTACCAATGGGAGTTAACGATTTTGCAGAGAGCCAGTTCACAGCACATTCGAAGATTGGCTTGGTGGTCTGGCAGCACAGATGGGGGTATTCTCATTGGGTCCACTTCACAGTTTTCCTCTGACTCATACAAGGCCCTTATGAACTCCCCTGCAGGTGACATTTTATTTATAACAAGTCCACTTTGAATGCTAACATCAACCAAAGACTGTTAAATGTGAAGAATAACATTCAATGTTATTACTTCTTCATTGATAATGTCTGCCTGGGTTCTCATCGCCCCTGCTGCTTATTACACGTCAATCTCTGTCACCTGCTCTGCTGTTTATGATCAGTTCCAGCCTGTGACTCTGTCCTGTCTACAGGAGACTGTTGGTGGGTTGAGGCCCTCAGGTTCTCTAAATGATGCTGTTCCTCTTCGATTATCTCAAGAGGTCTTCCCTACTGTTGGAACCTCTGTTCTGGCACTATAAATAGCAGACTGCCCGCAGGTGTGGTGCCTGTATATTTTTAACATGCTGTTGTACAGCCCCTAATTAAAATGCCTGGAATAGATCCTGCATTTATTGTCAATTTCAGGCCAATCTCCAAACTGCCTTCCTTTTAAAAAATCCTTGAAAAGACAGTTTTCAGGGGGACATGTCCACATCAGTTCTAATGCCTGTGCTGTGGGACACAAAGGGCCGGATTTATCAAGATCCAATTTTGCGTGCAGTAGCTAATTTGC